CTCTGGAGATCTTCAAAACCCGCTTGGACACAGTCCTGTGCCACGTGCTTTAGGTGTCCCTGCGTGTGCAGGGGGGTTGGACTAGATGACCTCTAGAGGTCCCTTCCAACCCTAAGCATTCTATGATTCTATGATTCTATGATTCTATTACTCTACGGAAGGATTATTACTCTAGCAGTTACTTCCCTGTTACAAATCAAAGCATCTAAAAACCTTTAAAATACCAATGAACTTAAGTCTTAACCCATCACTTGTTGATGCAACTGCTGTAGTCATACTAAGTAATTTTGTCACTGACATCAGATTATCAGCATCTTTGCCCCTATTCTTCAGATACGGGGAAGCAGACAGAGACAAGAATGTATCTTCCAAAGATACAAAGCTATCCTTATAGCTACAGGAGTAAATAGTTATGGAATCAATCCATTTTTTTAGTCAAATCTCTAACTGAAAGACTGTAAAGTGCATGCAAACGACAGCAGCTTTTAAAAAGTCAAATTCTGAGATACTCTGTCATCAGGGATGCTGGTGTGTGCAGGCTGCTCCTTGAATAATAGGGCACTGTGCCACTTTTAAGTCTACTTATTTAAAAACAAATACTACTTTTGGTTAAACCTCAAGTTTGAAGAGCACTCCCTTTAAGCCTCAACAAGCACAGTAAAGGGAACACCAGTTCATTCTGGCAATCACACGTTTGGGACTTCACCACTTCTAACTGACTGGCCTGCTACATGCAACAAACATGTCCTTCCCCTCCAGCAATATGTGAAGCGGTTCATGGTGACACAGCTAAAGTTTTTGGCATATTTTCTTCCTGAAACCAGAAGACACCAAGAATAGGCAAGAATAAAAGCAACAGCTTCCATAAAACACATCCTTGACCTTCAATTCACTTGATAAAGTGATACCTGTTTCTGATACCTGTTGTACCTTGTGTGGTCACAAGGTCAGTCATACCTGCTCTTAAAGCACAGGAGGCAGTTTTCAGTTTGTCCAACAGCTGGAAAAAAATGAAAACTGGCAACACAAGGACATGTTCACTTATTACTGAGATTTTATTTTGTGTAGCTGATATGTTCAATACACACACACATACCTTCCCCTCATCTCCTTTTGGTAACAGTTGTAAGAGCTGAGACCTTAAGCTTCAAACCATTCTTTTCCTTCCTACCTCAGAGAGACTGCCTTGGCATGCTGTCTACTCAAGCAGTCCTGCTATCACTAACTTGTATCAGATTACATACATACATATATACAGCAGATTATTTAACTGCTTAAGCACAAGAGTGCAACAGAACTTTCACCTCCGTTTGTGATTCAGCAATTATGCTTTAAGTAATTGCTTCTGCAGACATATTTCTGTACTTTACCTAGTATTTCGCAGTATGGCTTGATTAAAGCCCCCTATTTCAAGATTCTGCCATTTCACACTTGTAATTCTGCCATTTCACACTTGCAGTTCTTACGCTTTCTGTGGCAGAGATCTTCCTCCTGCTCCCCCAAATATTCACAGTGCTGCCTCATTTTTGAGGTGCACAAGGTACACGTGTTCAGCAAGTAACATTTAAACGTGCGCTTTCTGCGGTACACGCTAGTTCATCCTTCTCAATACATGGCAAGATTCCTCCAGCGCTCGGGAAGCAGCACCAAGTGTCTGGTTATGATTAACATTGCCTGTGAGTAATGCCACATGTTAAAGGCTGTCCTATTCATGACTCAGGCTGCAGCTGGAGTAAGGGTGCAAACAGCTGGAGAGTTCACTTAAAGAACAGGTTATCAAATGCAGCAGGTTTGGTTTAGAGCCAGTGGCAGCATTCTGCCTTGCCACGTGGGCAAGGGGAAAGGCTAGGAAGTGCTTTTCCTCACCATCCTGTAGCAACTGTAAGGGTTTTTTTTTTTTTTTTTTGGTTTGCCTTTT